AGCTCCATTCTGGCATACGTGCTACCTACTGAACCTATCTATCTAAAATACAATGCATGGCATGTGACTTCTTAGGCAAGACTTTGCACCACATCACATATTTTTTAACTACGACCCTTCTTTAAACATGGTTGGTAAAAGGAACGTAACCAAGTAAAGAGCTGCACAAACTGTTGGCACGATATAAATCCTGTATAATATAATAATAATAATAACCAAGTATATATGCTTTATTATAGATAATTGTTTCTAAAAAAATGTTTGCATACTTTTAAAGATTTCACATGTAAGCTCTTTTTATGCAGTTATGACAATTTCACTTTGTGCAGAAGAGTTATTTTTCTGGAAATCAAAATTAAAGCTTGTGTTTTCAAATTATCTTGAGGCACTAATGAACGGCAGATTACATAGAAGAATTCAGGAAAACAAAGATAGACAGTTCAAATCATTAATCCACTCCACAGGCAAGTGATGTACCAATTATATAACAGGTGCTCCTTTTAGACCCATCTGTAGATTTTTACAGAGACAAGCCTCTAGTAAATTACAAGAGCGACATTTTATTACTCTTGGCAGAAGGTGGGCTGAAATGGAAGAAACAAGCTGTATCAAAATTACTGACACCTAGCTTAAGTTGTCTCTTTATTTTGAGTTTATGAAAGCTTCTTTATCTTTTCTGGAACTGCACTGACAGATGGGGGGGGGGGGGGGGGGAGGGGTCGAATGTACAATGAAACAACATACATAATGCTACATATGTTGCATCCCAATGCACCACATAGCAGCTTCATCACATTGTTGCAGTTGTACACCACTATTCCACAAGTATTTAAAGTGTTTTCCAAATCTAATGTGAGCATATTTTTTATCATGTTCCTTTTTTGCACAGATTCTTTGCTGGTATCTCATTGTATACAGGCAGTTAATGAAACAATGCACTGTGGGACATAAAGGTTATAATTTTAACATCTAGTTGAAAGCAAAAGTACATATATGGCTATAAGGGTTCATTCAATGTTATGACTAGGTGACCACGGCTGCTGCATGCATCTAGCGATCACTTTGTAATACGGTTGCACTGATGCCAATACTAAGCATTTGCAGGAGTATTAGTAATCATGTAAATGCTCCGATACTAAAAAACGATACCATCAGGCTCAGTTCTTTCAGCTGTCAGCAGGATTCCCCAACTGACACCTGAAATATAAACAAAAGAATGCTAGCAATTATCAGTTGTTAAGGAGCAGGGCTGCCGTGTCCTTAACAACCAATGCCTCAGGAAGTTCCCCTGCTGACAGCTGACATGTAAACAAAAGGTCTGGCAATTGGAGCTGTCAAAACAAAGCAGTCTGACAATGTTTATTAACAACATTGCTAGCTAAAACAGAAAGAAAAAAAGAAACATTGTTTCATTTTGTATCTTTCTGTTCAGTCATCTACAGAACAAAGAGATGAACTTTGATCTGCTATGCAGAGCCATACAAAGCAGTGTGCAGGAGTTTACATACAGTTCTCTCCCATGTCGGTAATACTTGGCAATCGTCGAGTGCCGGAGAGTAATCACCGCCCCGGACCCAGTGATTGACAGCTGAGGCCGCGAAAGGCGGTGTGGGTAGAATACGCTCCCTACCCAGAACTGCAAAAAAATACGTGATTTTGTGCACCCGTGCAGTATTTCTGCTATGAGGTTGACCCTTAATTTACTTTATTCAGCCATAATTAACTCCTTATTCTCCTCCATTTAATTATTATTTTCTTGCTGATTTTTTTTGTTCATTTCTATTTTATAAACTATTAATACCTAAAACATTTTTTGTTTCTGTTTGCATTGTTCATTAATATTTTTACACTTTTAAAAAATATTTACACGTTTCACATTGAAAAAAGCACAAAATTGAAACATATACATTTATTTCATTTGTGAATAACTTTGCTTTGTACCAGAATCATAATTATAGTGCAAATTTAAACAGGACGAATTACAGAATAAAATGTGCACTTTTTATTTGCAGTAACACTATTTATTTTTAAACCAACACTGCTCAAATTTTTTTTATTTTTTTTAGTTTTGTTACATTTATTTGTCTAAGGATTGTTAAAAAAATATAATTGTTGCAAGACAATATTCACAAAAAAAGCCTTCTTTGTCTTTAAAAAAAACACAGTTGAAACTCGAAAAATTAGAATATCGTGCAAAAGTTAATTTATTTCAGTAATGCAACTTAAAAGGTGAAACTAATATATGAGATAGACTCATTACATGCAAAGCAAGATAGTTCAAGCCGTGATTTGTCATAATTGTGATGATTATGGCTTACAGCTCATGAAAACCCCAAATCCACAATCTCAGAAAATTAGAATATTACATGCAATCAATAAAACAAGGATTGTACATAGAACAATATTGGACCTCTGAAAAGTATAAGCATGCATATGTACTCAGTACTTGGTTTGGGCCCCTTTTGCACCAATTACTGCCTCAATGCGGCGTGGCATGGAAGCTATCAGCCTGTGGCACTGCTGAGGTGTTATGGAAGACCAGGATGCTTCAATAGCGGCCTTCAGCTCTTCTGCATTCTTCGGTCTCATGTCTCTCATCTTTCTCTTGGCAATACCCCATAGATTCTCTATGGGGTTCAGGTCAGGCGAGTTTGCTGGCCATAAATAAAGGGTGGGTAAGTGAGCGCAAAACAGATCAGGTGAGCAGCTAACATACAGGGTAATCCTCAATACCTTGGAATAAAAAAATATAAATGGGGTATGTAGCGCTACGGAATGAATAACAAGCAAGGAGGGTGTCACCATATATAGTAAACATTCAATAGTTCATATAGTGTAGCAAAAAGAAAGCTGGATATGATCCAATGGTGTTTCCAAATCCCATTCAGTAGAAAAAGAATTTAGTGAGGTTGTGCGCTTACCACAAGTACACACAATGTAAGCATTGTATGCAAATAACTGGGCGTCACGGTCTGGTCAGCAGCCTGGGCAACATCTGGTCATATGAGGACATCTGGGTCACAGGTCCAACGCTGTCCAGGCCCCCTCTGGCTCTCAACTCCAAAACGCCACCTTACAAAGCTCATTAACAAACGAGCCCGGAGGCAAGAAAGTGCTAATAGTGAAGTACGTTTATTAAGAGCATAAAAAGTGAGCTAAAACAGCAACAACTCACATCGATAAAGCATACATCCAGGCCCAATAGATAGGTGCCTGGTGGCTAGTAGTACAGTCAGCATGCAGAAAAATATACACCTCCAGGTCCAATAGATAAGTCCCTGGTGGCTAGTGGTATCATCAGCATAAAGATATAAAGTTTAAATTGAATGTGATGACAGAAGGATACTCATCCAGGTTCTGGTGAAGGTATTCCCTGGTGGCTAGTGGTTCCCTAATACCAAGGCGTCAATAGGGTGGATCCCCTAACATGTTTCGAGCTAAAGCTCGTTTTCACTGCTGGCCAATCAAGCACAGTAATCCCACGGTCATTGAACCAGGTTTTGGTGCTTTTGGCAGTGTGGGCAGGTGCCACAACCCTGCTGGAAAATGAAGTCAGCATCCCTATAAAGCTCGTCTGAGGAAGGAAGCATGAAGTGCTCCAAAATCTCCTGGTAGACGGCTGCGTTGACCCTGGACTTAATGAAGCACAGTGGACCAACACCAGCAGATGACATGGCTCCCCAAATCAACACAGACTGTGGAAACTTCACACTGAACTTCAAGCATCTTGCAGTGTGTGCCTCTCCATTCTTCCTCCATACTCTGGGTCCTTGGTTTCCAAATGAGATGCAAAAGTTGCTCTCATCAGAAAAGAGGACTTTGGACCACTGAGCAACAGACCAGGTCTGTTTTTCTTTAGCCCAGGTAAGCCGCTTCTGACGTTGTTTGTTGTTTAGGAGCGGCTTGACAAGAGGAATATGACATTTGAAGCCCATGTCCAGGAACCATCTGTGTGTGGTGGCTCTTGATGCACTGACTCCAGCCTCAGTCCACTCCTTGTGAAAGTCCCCAACACTTTCGAATGGCCTTTTCCTGACAATCCTCTCCAGGCTGCGGTCATCCCTGCTGCTTGTGCACCTTTTTCTTCCACACTTTTCCCTTCCACATAACTTTCTGTGTGCTTTGATATAGCACTTTGGGAACATCCAACTTCTTTTGCAATTACCTTTTGAGGCTTTCCCTCCTTATGGAGGGTGTCAATGATGGTTTTCTGCACAACTGTCAGGTCAGCAGTCTGTCCAATGATTGTGATTCCTACTGAACCAGACTGAGAGACCATTTAAAGGCTCAGAGTGGGACACTTTGAGCCTAGAATATTGCACCTTTTCACAATATTCTAATTTTCTGAGATTGTGGATTTGGGGTTTTCATGAGCTGTAAGCCATAATCATCACAATTATGACAAATCACGGCTTGAACTATCTTGCTTTGCAGGTAATGAGTCTATCGCATATATTAGTTTCACCTTTTAAGTTGCATTACTGAAGTAAATGAACTTTGCACGTTATTCTAATTTTTCGAGTTTTACCTTTATGTATTTATGTTGTTATCTTAAGCAATGACAAAGTTATCAAAGTTATCGTCGAATAAACAGGTCCATAGCAGAAATGTAAAAATTACTCTGGACCATAAGGGGTAAACATGTGTTAGAGTTGAAGTGGTTAAGGAGTGGGGCCACTGTGTCCTTAACCATTTGAATACCGGGCAATTTTACACCTTCCTGCCCAGGCCATTTTCCAGGTTTCAGCGCTCTCACATTTTGAATGACAATTGCGCGGTCATACAAAACATTGTACCCAATCTAAAATGTTATCATTTTCTTCACACAACTAGAGCTTTCTTTTGGTGGTATTTAATCACCGCCGGGGATTTTATTTTTTGCTAAATTATCAAAAAAAGACCGAAAATTTTGAAAAAAAAACACATTTTTCTTTGTTTCTGTTATAAAAGTTTGCAAATAAATAATTGTTCTTCATAAATTTAGGCCAAGATTTATTCTGCTACATGTCTTTGGTGAAAATAACCCAAATTAGGATGTATTTTTTAGTTTGTAGGAAAGTTATAGAGTTCACAATCTATGGTATAGATCTGAATATTGATCAATCCTGAAGTATTGATGGCCAATCTAATTTCTTGAAGTCCAAGAATGTCATAACAGTACAGATATCCCCCAAATGACAGTCCGACGTACTTCATAAGAGGCATGGCGAGTTTTTTGAAGTTGTATTTTTTTTGTCATAATTTTTCGGAAAATGAAAAAATGTAAAAAATTAATTTCACTATTTTTTTTTTTACATACTGTCACCAGTGCAGTACAGCGTCTTCATATAACTGGCATGGCGGTGATCAGGAACACTGACTGGTGACAGTATGAAAAAAAATATATATATATATATATATTTTTTATTATTTTTAATTTTTTATTATTTTTTTTTTCTTTTTTTTAAGATTTTTTTTCATATTTCACTATGTCCAAAATAGCACAAAGTTACCATAGTAACATTGTACTACTTTGGGGAAGTGATCAGTATTTTTTTTTTTCTTTTTTACACAATTTGCTTATAGCAAAGAATTACTTTGCTGTAAGCAAGCATTTACATGAATGACATCGATTCATTCAGGGCTTTTTTTTTTTTTTTTTTTTTGTGCTTAGCTGTGATTTGGCCACAGCTAATCACATGACATGTGCATGTGATTAGCTGTGACCATTCACAGCTAGACACTAGTATACAATGGATGGCATGAATGAAACCATCCATTGTATACAACTGTCATGTGACCTGCTGTGATTGGTCACAGCAGGTCACATGGTACCGGCAACGGGGCCGATACTCAGATCTGTCATCGGCTGTGTCCGAGGTACACGGCCAGTGACAGATCGCGCCGCTGCAAAAAGTGCACATGTGCGGGAGGACGCCATTTGCCGTCCAACCCGGAAATCCGATACATTTTTCCGGCTGCCTTTTGGCTATTGGCCGGGCGTGTATTGGTTAACAACAGCTCACTCATTCAGCTGTCAGTGGGGCTCCCTTGCTGACAGTTGAAGTCTAAACAAAACAGTTGCTGGTAATAGGTATTGGTAATTGGTATGAGTATTTTAAAAAAATATATATATATATATATAATTATTCGTTGCTAAAAAAAATGGTATCTGTGCATCCATGCTTTTTAAATGTGCATGCTTCCAGAATCTTAAAGCACAAGTGTGGCCCCCAGAAACTTGAAGCACAAAGGATGAACTCACCATTTCTAAATACATTTAATTTAGAATTGTTAAGAAAATAAATGTTTTTACCTGACCTGACCTATAGTCAAATGACAGCCAGGTGAATGCCTTGTCCCTCCGGGAGGGCGTCATATGACATTCTTCCCGGATCGCACCTTGCGTGTGCCCGCAGGGCCGCGCTGTAGTGAGATCTGTCACCGGCCATGTACCTCGAACATGGCCGATGAAAGATCTGTGTACCGGCCCCGTTGCCAGTACCATGTGACCTTCTGTGACCAATCACAAAAGGTCACATGACAGTTGAATACAATGGATGGCTTCCTTTCATGCCATCCATTGTATTCAACTGTGTCTAGCTGTGAATGGTCACAGAGATCACATGCACATGCTGGGCCAATCACAGTCCATCTGTGTCATGTGATTAGCCGTGGCCAATCACAGCTAATCACAACAAAAAAAACCTGAATGAATTGATTTCATTCAGTTAAATGCTTGCTTATAGCAAAGAAATTCTTTGCTATAAGCAATTGAATTGCGTAAAAAAAAAAAAAAAAAATACTGATCACTTCCTCAAAGTAGTACTATGTAGTTACTATGGTAACATTATACTATTTTGGTCATAATGTAATATGAAAACAAAACTTTAAAAAAGAGAACAAAAAATTAAAAAAAAAAAAGTTGTTTTGTACTATCACCAGTCAGTGTCCCTGATCACCACCACACCAGTTATATGATGACGCTGTACTGCACTGGTGACAGTATGTAAAACAAAAGTGTGAAAATAATTTTTTTAATTTCTTCATTTTCCAAAAAATTATGACAAAAAATTACAACTTCAAAAAACTCGCCATGCCTCTTATGAAATACGTTGCACTGTCTACTTTGCAAAAAGGGGTCATTTGGGGGATATCTGTACTATTCTGACATTTTTGGGCCTCAAGAAATTAGATTGGCTGTTAATACTTCAGGACTGATCAATTTTCATATATATCCCATAATTTGTGAACTCTATAACTTTCCTACAGACTAAACAATACATACAGATTTGGGTTATTTTCACCAAATAAATGTAGCAGAATACATCTTGACCTAAATTTATGAAGAACAATTATTTATTTGCAAACTATTATAACAGAAACTAAGAAAAACTTTTTTTTTTTTTTCAAAATTTTCAGTCTTTTTTTGTTAATTTAGCAAAAAATAAAAACCCCAGTGGTGATTAAATACCATGAAAAGAAAGCTCTAGTTGTGTGAACAAAATTATAAAATCTTAGTTTGGGTACAGTGTTGCATGACCGCGCAATTGTCATTCAAAGTGAGAGAGCGTTGAAACCTGAAAATTGGCCTGGGCAGGAAGGGGGTAAAAGTGACCGGTATTGAAGTGGTTAACTCTAAACCTACTTTCATTCTAAGCCTAATCAATCTAGCCCTGTAAAGAATAAAATTACTATACTCACCTGTTCTGCAGGTGCTCCAGACCCACGCTGAGCTGTCAATGGTGGCTTCAGTGTGTAGGAGTGTGCAGGGAAGGCAGCCAACAACGGAACCCCTTTGTAACTCTATGCAAACAGACGGTGCCAGTGGAGACCAGAGTTAGTTAGGTTTTGCTTTTACTTCCACTCGTATAATTACAAAATTTGTTTTGCCAGAGGTGGCATATATGTGTCCCATGTGGAATTATGGTGCAATAGCAGGACTCTGACATTTATTTGATCTGATGTAACTGTCGTGCTATTACAGGTCTGGATTCCACATAAACAAGTGCATATAGATTGGCGAGCCTCAAAGGGGAATTTAATTAATCTTCTTGAAAAGAATGGAGACATTTTCTTGGGCGTAAGAAGACCATTGCTTAGCGATGGTTGCCTCAACAGCAAGACCAAACCACTTGTGAGCTGGATGCAGCTTGAATCGTGGCCTTTGAGAGCACAAAATCTTGGACATTGTCTATATGTGGTAAGTTCTCCTTCAGTAGGGAGGCAGAGTGACACCTAGGAGGTGCTGGGTACAGATGAGGTCACAAATGCTACTCTCCTTGCAGGTGTTTGGTATAAAGTAGCACAAACCACATGTGAGACCTGAAGTGACTGGGATGCCTAAATCGCAGATCTTGATTACTGCTGAGTGGTGTGGAATCTATGTGCGTGGAGTGGGGGAGAAACTGTATTTTGAGTGAAAGTACATACTTTAATAATGTTGAGATCCTACATCAGCTAGGACACCCAGGAATTAAAGTACATATGTTTCTGGCATGAATACTCTTGAATGAGATTTCTGTACTGTGGTTCAGGTATCATTAGTTACATGGATACTAGAAAATGGGCTGTGTGTGCTAGAAAGTACATCTCACTGGTGATATGGATAATGGGAAATGAGCTGTGTGTGCTGGAGTGTACATCTCAGTGGTGACATTGATACCAGGGAGTGGGCTGTGTGTGCTGGAGTGTACATCTCAGTGGTGACATTGATACCAGGGAGTGGGCTGTGTGTGCTGGAGTGTACATCTCAGTGGTGACATTGATACCCGGGAGTGGGCTGTGTGTGCTGGCGTGTACATCTCAGTGGTGACATTGATACCAGGGAGTGGGCTCTGTGTACTGGAGTGTACATCTCAGTGGTGACATTGATACCAGGGAGTGGGCTGTGTGTGCTGGAGTGTACATCTCAGTGGTGACATTGATACCAGGGAGTGGGCTGTGTGTGATGGAGTGTACATCTCAGTGGTGACATTGATTCCAGGGAGTGGGCTGTGTGTGCTGGAGTGTACATCTCAGTGGTGACATTGATACCAGGGAGTGGGCTGTGTGTGCTGGAGTGTACATCTCAGTGGTGACATTGATACCCGGGAGTGGGCTGTGTGTGCTGGAGTGCACATCTCAGTGGTGACATTGATACCCGGGAGTGGGCTGTTTGTGCTGGAGTGTACATCTCAGTGGTGACATTGATACCCGGGAGTGGGCTGTGTGTGCTGGAGTGTACATCTCAGTGGTGACATTGATACCAGGGAGTGGGCTGTGTGTGCTGGAGTGTACATCTCAGTGGTGACATTGATACCAGGGAGTGGGCTGTGTGTGCTGGAGTGTACATCTCAGTGGTGACATTGATACCCGGGAGTGGGCTGTGTGTGCTGGCGTGTACATCTCAGTGGTGACATTGATACCAGGGAGTGGGCTCTGTGTACTGGAGTGTACATCTCAGTGGTGACATTGATACCAGGGAGTGGGCTGTGTGTGATGGAGTGTACATCTCAGTGGTGACATTGATTCCAGGGAGTGGGCTGTGTGTGCTGGAGTGTACATCTCAGTGGTGACATTGATACCAGGGAGTGGGCTGTGTGTGCTGGAGTGTACATCTCAGTGGTGACATTGATACCCAGGAGTGGGCTGTGTGTGCTGGAGTGTACATCTCAGTGGTGACATTGATACCAGGGAGTGGGCTGTGTGTGCTGGAGTCTACATCTCAGTGGTGACATTGATACCAGGGAGTGGGCTGTGTGTGCTGGAGTGTACATCTCAGTGGTGACATTGATACCAGGGAGTGGGCTGTGTGTGTGCTGGAGTGTACATCTCAGTGGTGACATTGATACCAGGGAGTGGGCTGTGTGTGCTGGAGTGTACATCTCAGTGGTGACATTGATACCAGGGAGTGGGCTGTGTGTAATGGAGTGTACATTTCAGTGGTGACATTGATACCAGGGAGTGGGCTCTGTGTGTACTGGAGTGTACATCTCAGTGGTGACATTGATACCAGGGAGTGGGCTCTGTGTGTGCTGGAGTGTACATCTCAGTGGTGACATTGATACCAGGGAGTGGGCTGTGTGTGATGGAGTGTACATCTCAGTGGTGACATTGATACCAGGGAGTGGGCTGTGTGTGCTGGAGTGTACATTTCAGTGGTGACATTGATACCAGGGAGTGGGCTCTGTGTGTACTGGAGTGTACATCTCAGTGGCGACATTGATACCAGGGAGTGGGCTCTGTGTGTGCTGGAGTGTACATCTCAGTGGTGACATTGATACCAGGGAGTGGGCTCTGTGTGTGCTGGAGTGTACATCTCAGTGGTGACATTGATACCAGGGGAG